CGCAGGTGACATAATTCATGAGCTACTGTTGCGAATTAATGCCGATCGTTACGCGACGAGTCCCGCCGATGAAAATAAATAATCGACGATGCTTATTTCCGAAGTGTACGCATAGGTTATTATCATAATTTTCTCTTCAAGTATTTGTCGAGTATTCGAGTGCAATCTGTCTCTCCTTGAATAACATCCTTCCACCTAATATGTTATCTCGTCATGCAATTTAACGCACGAAGGCTTTCACTTGTAATTATTTATATTTTTTATTTATACAGCATTCTCGATATCTGAGAACCAATGTCGAAATCGTATTTTATTAAAATTTTTCAAATTGTAGAAAGGTTGAATTAACATATTTAAAATTGCAATATACGATACAATTGTACAATTGTGGATGCCGATTACATCGTTAAAACTTCGATAGCCCGTAGAGATGCGTTGTGTAACGATAGCGAGTATGCAATCATGCTTATAAAGAGTGGAATTTAATTTCGACAATTGCGCGAGGCGCTTTAGTCAAATTTTCGGCGAATTGGGCGACTCCGGCAATCTCGTCGCATCGCGATCGATTAAAATATTTTCGTTGAAGCGCTCGCACATAGTTGGCCGGTGCGTAACGAGTGATTCGTATCAGGGCTGATTGTAAATTGAGCGCGAAACCGCCGTTGATTGGTTTAAAATCAGATCATCGCGACTCCGCTCGTCGCCGGTCACTCGACTGCATCTATCGGCCGTGCGTGCATCGTCGAGGAGGAAGACACGAGGGGTTAGGGGGCGAAAGTGCACCCTCGGAGGGTCGAATAGTGCAACAGAGGGTCGGCCGTACGTACCAACACAAATGTACGTGGCTCCCTAAAATGAATTACGCGAACGTGGATCAGTTGCCTGGCAACGTCTCTCTCCGTTGTAACCCGTAATGCACTCGCTGCAGGCCACGGTTTTTGTTTGTATTAGGAAATCACCCTGTCAAGCGCGCGTCTACCGTACACGTGATCGGAGAACTCGCAAATTTTGGGATGCGTTCGGAAGCCGCGTGATCGATGCGCAAATTTTGGAACGCGCCCGGACCTGCGTGCACGATGCGCAAATTTTGGGACGCGTTCGGAACCGCATGATCGATGTGCGGATGGTGCGCTCGTTTATATCCCGGGAGAGCGTAGATTCCTCTTGAGATAATGAAGTAATTAACGATAGTAGTCAATTATTCAACATCCATGGACCTGCCGAATTTCGTAAAAGAGTTAGCATTGATAATATTGCGTTGCAAAATGCTTTAATAACTTTATTAATAATGTATCGGAAATTTCATTCTGAAAACCACCGCATCTTTTTACCACATCGATGGCGTACGTTGGCGTATTGTATTGATTATACATTTTCGGAATACGGGACAAGCATTTTTTTTATTTTCGGATACGTTCCCACAATATGCATCATTGTCACTGCCTCCCTAACAGTTTTACGGTTGTAGCTACGATTTGCTTTTCTTCTGTTTCTCTCTCTCTCTCTCTCTCTCTCTCTCGTAATAACTTCGTATAGCA